CGGGCCGCGGGGGGCTGAGGGTGGGGCCGTGAGGCCGGCCCGGGGGACGGACGGGCGGGGCCCCGGACGCCCCTGCGTGTACTGTCCGGGTCCTGTCGGAGAGGTCAGCGTCCAGTGTGTCTCGGCTTGGGGTCGGAGTGAAGTAGGCCGCCTTGCGGGAGAAAGGCCCTTCCTGGGAGCAGTCCTCTGCCTGGGAGAGGTTTTGGGGAGCTTGAGGAGTGGGGTGTTCGTGAGGCGCAGGGCGGGATGGACTTTGGTGTTCGCTGATAGCGGGCACGGGGATGAGCAAGCTTTGGGTGTGTTTGGGATTAGATGGGCTTGGGTTAGGAATCCAGGGTCGCTTTCGGAGTTATAAGGCCGGGTTAAAACTTAAGACTTGTTCGTGTGAGTTAGGTTCGTTTTGTAGGTATGGTTTACCTTAAGGTCGTTATTTTGTTTTCTGGAATGGCCAGCATAAGTCAGAAGTAGAGTTCAGGATCGGGTTAAGAGTCAACAACAGGAATTGGGTTAGAAGTCTTGTTTTAGGGATTAGAGTGAATGGCATGGTCAGCATGAAGGATAAACAGTGAAAGGGTGAGTTAGAAATCAAGTTACAAATGAGCATCAGGCTTAGGTGTCAACATTTAGGGTTAAAGTCAGGGGGGTTAGTGCTAACGGTAAAATTTAGACCCGTATTAGGGATCAAGGATTGGATACGAGTCTCTGCTAGGAAGAGGATGAATGTTAAAGGCAGTACTGGAAATCAGGAAACAAATTAGAGTCAGGGTTAATGTTAGGAATTGGGGGCAGCTTTGGGGGTTGTGGTTGAGGCCAGAGTAGTTGACTTTGAGCTTGTACAATTTCAGAGGTCGGCAGTAGGTATATGCCCTTGTTTTGTGGGGAAATTCCTTATTCCTGCGTAGTCACAGGAGCTTCTTTCAACCGGAAAGATGACAAATATCAGGCTGGGGTTCTGGGCTTCAGCTAGAATTACATGCATCTGGGATTCCAGCTTTTTTATTCTGCTAAGTCCAAGGCTACCACAATTAGGTGGAGGAGATTCTGGACTGTGTTATTTACAAGATGAGAGGTGGAAAATGGTCAGGGACCCAGGAGATGTACAAGGCCTAGTCATAAGTGGGGGACTGCCTAGGGAAGAGGGGCTGGGAACTAAGGGGGAAGTAAACCAAGGAAACACTTGCCACTAGGGAAGGGGACGACTAAATTCCCTGAAAGTTTAGTCTCTTGCCTCCAACTTTCCTCATTCTCTAGATATTAAACACTCCTCTCCAACTCTCATCCCTGGCTCTGCATTTCATTCCCTTCCTGCCTACCCTTTACAGAATACTCCCCTTGCCTTGAACTCTCCCATGTTGCTCATCTTCTTACCATCTGTCCCCATCCTCAGTTCTGCCTCTCTCCCCTCAATCCACACATCCTGCCTTAATTTACCCTCACCCAAGTCTGAGCTTTCCCATCATTTTAAAGCATTCTCCTATCATTTTCACCCACTCATATACCTATATACCACCTGGCCATCTGCTGAATACCTCATTTCCATCCCTGCTATGTGCCATCCCCTGGATCTGAGCCTTTTAATAATTTATTGGTCCAGTTGTAGATCCCCTTCCCCCACTCCCCAACAGAAAAGAGGAAATGAGACCCAGAGAGGAAACTGGGTCTTGCTGATCCCACACCCAGCCAGGCCACTGACCACACCCCCATTTCACTCCCAGCCTGACCCTGACCCTGCCACTGACCACAGCACTATCCCTATTCAGCCTGATCCAGGCACTGACTATACCCCATTCCCCACCCCCACCCCAACTCCAGCTTACTTAGACACTGCCAATGTCCCTTCACTTCCCTGTCCCACCCCAGCCTAATTTAGCCACTGACTACCTCCCCATCTCTTCTCAACTCCCTGTAGCCTAACCTGGCCTCTGACCTCACTCTATCATTCTCTGACTTAGCCATCATCCCTGTAGTCATTTCTTCCTTTTCCCCATCCTGATCCAGTGACTGGTCGTATATGTATTTTTCCTACAACCATCATCACTACCATCTTCCCCAGCCTTTTTCTACACCCAGTCTTCCTCCTTCCCAGCCTAATACAGTCACTAACCCCACCCCATCTGCCCCTAGTGGCTACTAATTATATACCCATTCCCTTTTTCCCACAGCCTAACCACATCCCCTAACCACTGCCTCATCTTTACATTTTCAGCCCAACCTGATCCATCCCCTACCCACCGCCCTTTCTTAATTCCTTACCTAATCTAAAGCTGTCCCAGCCCCTAAAGTGGCTACTGATGATAGGAAGCTATAGGACCATAGCCTGACTTTGGGCTCTGGTCCCTGAAGGCTGACAGAACAGACTGTCATCAGGTCCTATCAGTTCCACTTCTCATAATTTCTTCTGAGTGACAACTTCCTCTCCACTCTTCTAACTCTGGCTGTGTTACCTATGATTTGTACTAATGCATTGTCCTTCTAACCAATCTCCAAGGTAACTGTCAGAGTTATTTTCCTAAAATCCAGTTCTGGTCATGTTGCTTCTCTGCTCAAAGACTCCTTTGGCCTCCTGTTGACCTCCAGTAAGTAAAATTCCTCACACTTCTCTCTAGTCTTCCCCTGCCTTTCCATCCTAACCCTGACTTCCCCACCATGCTCCCTTGCAGGTAACCTGTGCTTCAGCCAGTCTGCCTGCTCACTTCCCTGAATGCTCCTCTACGATTTCCTGCTTCTCCACCTTTGCTTATGCTATAGCTCTGCCTGGAATGAATACTACCCCCGACTCATCTCCAACTGACTGGCATAGTGGAAAGAGCTTGGGCTCTGGATCCTTGGCTTCACAACTTACTATTTGGACAAGTACTTTGAACAAGTATTTAACCTCTTTGAGCCTCAGTTTCCTGATCTGTAAAAATGAAAATAATGATACCTACCTTGCAGGGTTGTTGTAAGGATTAAATGAACATATGTATACAGTGCAATTGACATAGAGTCAATAAATGGCAGAGCACTATTATTTTTTATTTTCTATATTTTTTAAAATTCTAAATTCAAGTGACACCTTTCATGGAGACTTTTTAGTCCCCCTTCCCTAACCTAAAGGGAACTCTCCTCTGAGCACGAATCTTTTGGTTCTTATCACATCTGTCCCCTATTGTAATTCTGTATTTAGCTTACCCATTCATCTCACAGACTGGGAGCCCCTTGAAGGCCCCTTAAAAGCCACAGTAAGGCTAGGTCTTAATGATTTTGGTGCCTAGCCACTAAAAGCTTAGCCCAGGCCTTCCCCACAACAGACTCTCAAGGAATACTTGCTGGGTGAATGGAAGGAGAATGTCTGTACAATGGGAGAAGAGACTTCGGGGCAGAGCACTGGGGTGGGGTGTGCTTGTGATGAGGAATATTTGTGGGGAAGCTGTATTTGTGGGATGGAGTCTCTACAAGATAATAATGCAGTCCTGGTCAATTCTGTGTAGGGGCTGTGTGATTGAGACAATGTGTATGCGTTATCAGTGCAAGTAGCTTTGTGGGAAAGAACTCTTATAGGCTGGGGTGCACTCAGGAGAATGAGTGAACATGCAGGTGTGGAGGGGCTGTGCGGGAGAAGTCAGGTCCAGCCCTTCAGCTGCCCAGTCCAGTCCTAAATGAGCCTCCAGCAGCCCAAGGCCGGATATGTCAGTCTCACCCACAAACCCTCCCCCCTTTCCCGTGGTTGCAGGCTCAGAGGCCAAATTTGGTAACAGACTGATTGTTACTCCCCCAACCCTCTTACATTCTGTCTTCAACTTTCTTTCTCCTTTTGTTCCTCTCTGTAACTCCCTATCTTTCTGCATTTTCCTTTGTGGGTATCTATCAGCTCTGACTGAATTTTCCAACTACCCCAAATTTCTTAGCCCCAATACACTCACATTCCAATCCTTGCTGGGATTTGACCTCCTGTCCTCCATCCCCCCCCCCCAATTGCCCAACTCCTTTGGAATGCATCTCAGGAATGTTTTGAGGGAGGAGGAGTTCCCTGGGAAGGGGACGTGGGGGGGTGGGTGTTGCTGTTCCATAAAACATGATGGAAAGGGGAGCAAAGTTCTCAGACCAGAGCAGGCACTAAATCACTTCTACTTATACTTCCAGGGGCCTTGTTCTTTGCCACCACTACCCCCAATTCACTGGTCAGTTCCTCGTCTCCTCTTACCCTACTGTAACTTTGTAGATGTCCACTCAGGACCAACTTAGGAGTAAGGGTAGGCATGACTCAACTCCCTTATCAGGGTCTCACCAGAGGCTTCCGTGCTTGAGGAAGAAGGGGGTGTTCATATGTCCGGAGGAAATGGGGGGGAGACATGTAATTTCAGTTTAGGATGAAGGGTCCTTTCAGTCCTGTCCTCAGCTCCTTGGACTCCTCCAGCTTCTCTGATCCTCCAGCCCTAATTACTGTGGTCAGCAACTCACGGCCAGGTCTGTCAAGCTACTGGGAGACATGCCCCAGGAATGGGGAGGGGGCAGAGAGCTGGAACTGGGGAGACTGGGAAGGCCCTCGCTTGTTTGGGAGTAAAGGTAGACTCTGGACTGTTTATAAGGTCAGAATTGTTCTATCAGCCACAGGGTATCAGACCCCTGATTTAGACTTTTGCCACATCTGCCTCCTGTCTCCTGTTTCTACCTCGATCTTCAATTCTCCCCACCCTCTCTCTCCTAATCTCTTCACCCTCCATCCCTTCCCAACTCCCCTGGCTCTCAAAATGCCTTCTATATCCTAATACCCCCACCTCTGCTTCCCAGGCTTTCCCCGTCCCCATCCATTTTCCCCCTTTGAGGCTTACAGTATGCTGGGAGGGCAATGGGCAGCCTGGATTTGCTCATTCTCTTAGTTAAGAGGCACCCAATCTCTAGACTACACTGAGGCACATCAGCTGCCAGGCAGACTTGTCCCCTTGCGGCCTGTGCACCACCTGCCACCCCCAGTGGCTCCACCAGCCCGCTGGGGGGTAGTGCCAGAAGTGTGGAGGAAGGCAGGGGAGAGCCAGTGTTTTGTGCTGCACTGAAAATACTGTTGAAGAAGCAGCTGAGGCAGAGGGCAGTTGCTGAAGAGGAGTTGCAGTGAGGACTGAGGATGAACTTGGTGACTTGGAAAGACCAAGGACTGAGTCAGGAGGACTAGCCTCTCTCTGTCCTGCCTGAAAACTTTTCTTCTCCTCCCAGAGTCTGTTTCCTCTTCTACAAAATTGAAGGATTAACTATATAACTTTGGGAATCTCTTTGACCTAGAGAATTCTAGTTCTAGCTTGACTGCCAGGGAAGCCAAATATGGGCTTGGCTTCTTGGGGAGTCCCCCAATATCTCAGGTTGAAGGAAAGCTGGGGCAAGAGTCGACCTGGATGGCCTGAACAGCCAGTATTTGATCTCCCTGCCTGGCTAGCTAGAGTCTGTTTGCAGGCTTCAAGCGCTCTTGGGAATTATCTAATAACGTCTTCATTTTGCAGAGAAGGAGGTTAAAGCTATGAGAGGGAAGGTCATATGATGAGTCAGGGCAGAGTTCTGAAAATCCCAGACAGGGAAGAGCCAGTAGGACACAGAAGGAGACAAAGAGAGAAAACTACTGAACCAGACAAAGATGAAAACAAGCAGGGGCAGGGCTAGGAAAGGAGGCGAGCAAGGACAAGGGGCAAGAGTAACACTTGGAAGAAAGAAAGGAGGTACACATTGCAGTGGTGGGATCAGGGCAGTGTCCTCAGGTAACACTGCATTTCAGACCTGCCATTGTAACCTTGCAGACCAGCCTCCGCCTCAGATGTCTTAAATGGTTAGGACTAGTCCTTCTGATGTAAACAATCTTTTTCTCTTTAAAATTATTAAGTAAGACAAAAACCTTATTACTGCCTACTTTGGCGAATCCCTTTCAAAAACACTCCTCTCGGGACTCCACTGTCTTTAGGGGAGGGTCCTTTTCTCCCCCAGTGAGTGTATTCTAATGTCCTGATACCACGGGCCAGGTATAGCTAGGCTGGAGAGGAGAAGCTGCCACCATGGTTGCACTTTCGTTGAAGATCAGCATTGGGAATGTGGTGAAGACAATGCAGTTTGAGCCGTCTACCATGGTGTACGACGCCTGCCGCATGATTCGTGAGCGGATCCCAGAGGCCCTGGCTGGCCCTCGTGAGTCTGACTCCCCAAGTGGCTGGGGTGGGAGTCCTCAGTCCCATCTTATTCCCAGGCCCTCAGCCTTGAGGGATGATCCCACTGTCTGCTGAAACAACTCACCCTTCAGGTCTATGATCCGTAGTTCCTTCCATCCCCTTGAGGCTGAAGGTCATGGGAGAAATAACAAGAGACAGTGGTGCAGCTGTTCAGCACATTGTGCTCTTCATAAGTCTAAGGTGATTATCCTGTCTTCCAGCCAGCGACTTTGGGCTATTTCTGTCAGATGATGACCCCAAAAAGGGTATATGGCTGGAGGCTGGGAAAGCTTTGGATTACTACATGCTCCGAAATGGGGTGAGTACCATTTCATCAAGGACCACCACATCCTCTTCCATCGGCTTCCCCCTGTTCCACCTCCTATTTTCAGTACCCACATCTGTTGTCTCTTAGCCTTCCCCATGCTTTCTTTCCATTGCAGACAGTCATAATACCCTGCTTTTGAACGAACTATTTTCCTTTCAGTAATCCACTTCCCACCCCTCTGTCTTGATACAAAGGAAATAATACCCCTAGCTTAAAGTAGGCCCGTATCTCCCTTTCCTGCCCCAACAGGACACCATGGAGTACAGAAAGAAACAGAGACCCCTGAAGATCCGTATGCTAGATGGAACAGTGAAGACTATTATGGTGGATGATTCTAAGACTGTCACTGACATGCTCATGACCATCTGTGCTCGTATTGGTAAGAGGCCTTGGTAGGGCTGAGGGCTGGGGCTGGAAAGCTTCTGCTCTGCCAAAGACATGGATGTAGTGCCTGGGAGGTTATCAAGTCATCCCCCTTCCCCAGGCATCACCAACCATGATGAATATTCACTGGTTCGAGAGCTGATGGAAGAGAAAAAGGAGGAGGTAACAGGGACCTTACGAAAGGACAAGACACTGCTGCGAGATGAAAAGAAGATGGAGAAACTGAAGCAGAAATTGCATACAGATGATGAGTGTAAGCAGAACTGGAAAAAGGAGAGCTTTGGAAATGGGCATGGTGGGAAGGGCAGCTGTTTATTATGTATTCAGCATCTACTTTTGCCAGGCACTGTTTTACACCCTGGGGATACATCAGTAATAAAACAAAGTCCTACACTCACTGAAGTTACATTTTAGTGAGGGGAGGTAGAAAACGAAGAAATAAACAAAAACCCAGCAACCAGACAGCCCAAGGTCCATGGGGACTTGACATTAAGGGACTCTCTGTGCCCCAGTGAACTGGCTGGACCACGGCCGGACACTGAGGGAGCAGGGAGTGGAGGAGCATGAGACGCTGCTGCTGCGGAGGAAGTTCTTCTACTCAGACCAGAATGTGGATTCCCGGGACCCTGTACAGCTGAACCTCCTTTATGTGCAGGTATGGAGAGGACTAGGCTAGGGTGTGGGACAGGTAGGGAAAGGGGCCAGAAGCAAGGTTAGAGTATTCCCACACCCACACACAACATTTGCCTCTTTTCCCTGTGCTGTCCAGGCACGAGATGACATCCTGAATGGCTCCCACCCCGTCTCCTTTGACAAGGCCTGTGAGTTTGCTGGCTTCCAATGCCAGATCCAGTTTGGGCCCCACAATGAGCAGAAGCACAAGGCTGGCTTCCTCGAGTGAGTGACCACATCCTCTACCCTGTCAGGGCCCATCACTGCCTACCATTGTGACCCCAATGAGCCTGCCTCCCACTATTTCTTCTTCTAAAGTACCAAGGTTTGTCCCACATAGGTACCCTCTTAGCTGCCATCATCCATTTGTCTCCTTACGGGCCCCATGTGGAATACAAATATAGTTCAGTATCTCTGCCCCTACCCTCTGCACCTGAAGCAAGCATATAACTTTTTTCTTTG